TTTGTCAATTAGGACTATATTAAATTATAAAGAAATTAGCTGATTTGAAATTTTCTTTAAAAAATTTTTTTTCTTTATTGATTTTAGAGAGAGAGGAAGGGAGAAGGAGAGATAGAAACATCAATGACAGAGAACATCAATTGGTTGCCTCCTGCATGTCCCCTACTGGGGATTGGGCCCACAACCTGGGCATGTGCCCTGAACGGGAATCAAGCCAGTGACCTCTGGGTGCATGGGTCAATACTCAACCACCGAGCCGCACTGGCCAGGGTGAAATTTTCATTTTAGTTTTGTAATTATGACTTATTGAATGTAAGTTTTTGCTAATGTAATTAGTATTTTTTAAATTTTATTTTTAATTATAGTTCACATACAGTGTTAAATTACTTTCTGGTGTACAAGAGAGTGATTTAATATATATACCTTAAAAAGTGATCTCTACAATAAGTCTAGTACCCCTGATACTATATGTAGTTATTACAACATGAATGACTCTAGTCCCTAAGCTGTACATTACATTACATTCCCATGATTTATTTTGTAACTGGATGTTCGTAGTTCTTAATTTCTTTTCCCTTTTGTGTCCAACTTTCTACCCTCCACCCCTCTGGCAACCATCAGTTTGTTCTCTGTATCTATGAGTTTGTTTCTTTTTCATTTTGTTTGTTCATTTGTTTTGTTCTTTATTTTTTTTTATTGATTTTAAAGAGAGAGGAAGGGAGAAAGAGAGAGATAGGAACATCAATGAGAGAGAACCTCAATTGGCCACCTCCTGCATGCCCCCAACTGGGAATTTGGCCCTGACCAGGAATTGAACTGGTGACCTCTTGGCACATGGGTTGACGTTCAACCACTGAACCACACCGGCTGGGCTGTTTTGTTTTTTTAGTTTCCACATAAGTAAAATCACATGTTATTTGTCTTTTTCTGTCCAACTTATTTCACCTAACATAATAGTCTCTAGTTCCATCCATGTCATCCCAATGGCAAGATTTCATTGCTCTTTATGGTTGAGTAATATCTCTTTGAATATAACTTGTAAGATCAAGGAGAAATTAAAGAGAAAAACATAGATAATTTATGTCAACAAGGAACCTTGGCAGCACAACGTGTATATTGTGTTTTATTGTAAAAGTGGCTACTAGCACAGTGCTTGGCATATAATACAGCTAATAAACATCTGTTGGGTAAATTTATGAACAAATGAATTTGAAACATATGGGTTCTTTATGAACATTTTAATAACTGGTTTTGTTGTAGTGGCCAATGGAGATAGGGCAATGAGGTGATGGGGTATTGATTTCAATAGCTTATTTGAAATGTGATTCGCCTATCCACAGCTTAACTGTACAAAAAAAGTCTTTATGTAAACTTCACTTTTCCTAGAGAAATAATACAGTTCTATTATTTAAAAAGTATGTATTTTGCTAAAGGTCTTTTATAATTCAAAAGAGGTTATAAAAATTAAAAGTATCATGGAAACTTATCCAAAATTGTGTCATGGTAAATGTATATATATTTAAATTCTTGTAGCTAAGACCTATGCTGCTTAGTGACTCTGCTATAACGATGCTCCATGCATGTTTAGAGATAGATGCACTGCTCAGGGTCACAGTCTTATCTGACCAAGTCCAAGAACTTATAGGAACAGTCAATCCCTCAAGAAGAAACCAGATCTCCTGATGAAAAAACTCTAACATGTTTGTTTCAAATGGTTTTGTTCCATTATAGCTGGAGGAATTTTTCAGACAAAACATTAAATTGAAGTCAAATAAGAAAGCCAAAACAGTCTGACCAACTTACTCCTGTCGTAATGTAGTATTTAGAATGACTAAGTGACTTTGAGTAGTGTGTGGGTCCTTGGATTCGAAACTTTTCTACCCTGTGTGACAAGTAGGTGACTCTTAAAAAAATCCAGAGACTGAACAGCCATCTTTTATCTTAAGAAAGAAGTTCAGAACATAAATCTTGAGGCGGAAAGGAGAAAGTTTTTAGATGAAATAATTTAAGCGGATGGCATCAGTGGGCTCTCACTCATATGAAGACTCTAAGGTGGAATTTCTATAGGTTTAATTCACTGTGGCATATGTGTGTGTGTGTGTGTGTGGGGGGTCACACCAATAAAAAGTGACATGTCCTTTTCTTTATTTTCTTTGACGCTGTCAGGGAAAAAATTAGGTTACGTAATATAGCACACTTAAACCTACAAGTCAAAATTGGATAAAGCAATCACAGCTATCTCTGTGATTTAGGAAAATGGATTTTTGTAAAACGGGTGGAAGTCAGGTCAAGGTATAATGTATTATATATTTTTAAAAAATGTTTTCCAAATGTACTTAAAAAAAAAACAAAAAAAAAAAACCCGAGCCAGAGTAAATATACCTGCTATTTCCTAAAATGAAATCCCCCACACCTTTCTAAAATGCTTGTCCATTAATATAGCAGAAAACATTCCAAATGCTACAGCTTTTATTTTGAAATAAAACTTTGGGATTATCTACTTGAATGAAAGAGCACTCAAGTCCTTTTTAAAGCTGGCAGCTAGAGACAAATCTAGATTTGATTTGTACGAGTGTCTTTTTAATAAAAACATAGGGGCAATAAATGTGTTCTTCTAAAGTGATGTCAGCATGGACTAGACGTAAGCTATAGGTTACGGGATGAGAGGAAGCCATAGGCGGTGATTTTTTAAAAACACTTGCTTCCAGCCCGCTGAAGATCAAGTACAGGGAATAACCAAGTAGATTTGTGGACATTCCAGATGTATAGGTTCATAGCCCCCAAATATAAAGCCTTACTGATTGAACTACACTTGAATGCAAACTGTCATGCATAAGGTAAATGTGAAGATAGAAACGCTCTGGAATTGTGTGTTTTTTCTATCGTCAGTATTTTGCACAAACCACATTCCATGTGGCCATATCAACAGATCTGTGTAGATGGCCTCACAGGGTTGAGACCTTCAGATTGGTATTGTGATCTAGAACGTGGAGTAAAGTATGGCATTTTTACAAAAAAGAAAGGACTTTTCATTCCAGTGTAGAACCTCCTGATCTGATATGGAAGGTGCATCACATACAGCAGGCCTTCAAATAATGTCACTTTATTCAGTGTCATTTCATTGTAACGTTGATGAGAAAAAATATCCATTCCTGGACAGAGTCATTGTCGGTGTAGAGTCTGGGTTGCCTCCTGTCTATGTAAGTTTTCTCTGGGGATTCCAATTTCTTCTACCATTCCAAAGATATGTATATGAGGTGAATTGGCATGTCTGATGTCCCAGGCCACCCTTGACCCTGAACTACAATAAGCGGGTTGGAAGGGAATTCTGTTACTTGTTTTCATTAATCTTTCTTAAGTGTCTGTATAGCTCACATTTCTTTCCATGTTTAATATTAGAAGTATTTGGTCTTTATTTAGAAGCTTGGTGATGTTCTTGTGATGGGAAATATGCCATAGAAACTTAACTCATGTTTATATCAATTAGCCTCTGGCAACATTGGTTCCCTTATACACCCTTTCCCCTAAATCCTCATTATCCTAGAACCTATTGATGGCATTAAGTGAGGACTTACTGTATATATATTTAGTGTTTTCATATATAGGCATCTAATATTTGGTATTTCCAAACCCAGAAATTCTATACCATTGGTGCTCCCTGAAATTGTGAAACCTGTTGGTCTGTTTTAGTATAGAAATTCTAATTTGGTTGGGGGATAGTTATGGACTCTTGTGTTTGAGGAAAGCTAAAGATCTTTTCCCTGGAAGATTTTTTCATTCTCACAATAGCTCCATGTCTGTAAGGACTGCGACTATAAGGAGCATAAAGCTAAGACCTCAACTGGCAGAAATAGTAATCGATTTCCTGTTTGTCTGACTCCATGCTCAGGCTCTTCCCTGAGACCCTATTCCTTCAGTTTCCTCGGCTAAGCCATTTCAGAGCTCATGCTGGCCTACTTAGTCAGCCTCATCACTTGTTCCTTCTCCCATGCATCCTAAGTGGAAGTCACACTGAATTACTTACAGTAGTCATGCTGATTGTGAACACGCTGTGCCCGCCCCGCTCCCCGAAAATCCTTCATCATCTGCCTCAGTACTTGAAGACTCAGCTCAAATGTCACCTTTTCTAGGAAGACTTTCTAGCTCTCTTCCCCACTACCTCCATCCTCTTAGATTCCCTTCCTTTGCACTATTATTGTACCCTCTGCATTCGGATGTCCTAATTCCACTTACCAAGCTGCACCGTGACGGATGCCGACTTGTCTGCTTTTTCTTCTATTTCAAGGGAAGATATTGTGTATGTGTGTGTGTGTGTGTGTGTGTGAGAGAGAGAGAGAGAGAGAGAGAGAGAGAGATTTGGCTGAAGTGTTGCTACTGATTCAAAAACTAATTTTTTCTTCCTGGCATCAGATACTCTCCTGTATCACTGTGTGAAGATATATTTTGTTCCTAAAGAACTCTAACACATGCAATATTAATAGAGCCATATGCTACCCCTCTCTCAATACCATGAATCACACTGATAACACTGAAAAATGTATTCTTGTTTCAAGGAGTAACATAACTCCATTTCTCTGAACATGAATTTATGTTTTATTAGGCAGTCGTTTCTTAGTAATATAGTTCTAGTTTCTTGATAGCTGAAGAGGGGAGCATGTTATAAGTTAAATTTTTAACTACAAATTTCAAAGTAATTTAAAAGCAGTAATAGAATTCAAATATATTAAGAGTTTCTATTATTATTTTATATACATTGATATTATTTTACTAATTGCATAGTAAACAGAAATCAGTATTACAAAGATAAATAAAGTAGGACTATAGAAACAAAATAATAATTTTAAAGTAACTTTTAAAAAAGCAAATATTTCTTTATGAAAGAGAATGTAGTAGGAGAGCAGGGGTCAATGGAATTCTTGGTTTTTCTTTATAATACAAGACCTCATTTTAATACACACTGAACATATTATTACTACTTAAATTTCTTTTTTCCCCCCTAGGCCAAATTTACAGATGACTGCAAGTTCAGGGAGCGATTTCAAGAAAACAGCTATAATACCTATGCCTCAGCAATACACAGAACTGAGAAAACAGGACGTGAGTGGTACGTGGCCCTGAACAAAAGAGGGAAAGCTAAACGAGGCTGCAGCCCCAGGGTGAAACCCCAGCACATCTCGACCCACTTCCTGCCAAGATTCAAGCAGTCTGAGCAGCCAGAACTTTCTTTCACAGTTACTGTTCCTGAGAAGAAAAAGCCACCTAATCCTATCAAGCCAAAAGTTCCCCTTTCTGCACCCCGGAAAAGTCCCAACACGGTGAAGTACAGACTCAAGTTTCGGTTTGGATAATGTTCATCTTGGGCTTGTGAGAAACCACACGTCCCTCTCAGGCGTTTCTGTAGGTGTCTTTACAGCTCTGAAGAAGAATTTCGGACATAGCTTCAGCTCTACTACACTGTAGTGAAGTCAGGTCATTTGTTTCGGTGGAACTGAAACAAAAATGTTTGTTGATAGGAATGAACTGGAGTTCTTTGTACCGATGCAGGGAGCACACTGCTTCAGTTCAGTAAGACATAAAGCCTTTTGCTTTATGCTTAGGACATATTAGGACTTGGTGTTTTCAAGAAGTCAAACAGCGTGGACTATGTATTTTTCTGACTTTTACAGATCAACCTGAAAGAACATACATGTTATGTTTTATATTTTTGGTTTCCAAAGAATATTTTGATGCAGATAAAATATTTTATTAACTTTTGGATTGTTTTTCTTTTTTTTTTCTTTTTTGTTGTTTTTTAAAAAAGTACCTCTGCATTGAGCATATTTTCTTACTTTTATTATTTTAATTAATATGACATAAACAAGCATTTTAATGAATGAAAAATGTTATAGCCCATTTGTAACATGTGAATTTCTTTTTCATTTTTCTTATTCATTGCACTTTTTTTTTATTATATATTTTTACCATACCTCAGATAATGTAAGTTTAGTTCTATATCTTAAAATGTTTAAATTTTCTTCAAACACCAAAGGCTCAGCTTGGATTTGTGTGTGTGTGTGTGTGTGTGTGTGTGTGTGTATTCATGACATGGAATCATACCCCTTTTGTGGCTGGGCTATAATGGGTTCGAAGTAAGAAGACAGTAAAAGGACTTTTTTGATGGAATTAAAAGTTGGAGATAAGGAAGAGGATTAGAGGTACAAGTATACTAAGTTTGCAGCATTTATTGAGCTGTAATTCTGCCTTGCTTTAATTTCTCCTTTTATCTACCCCCTGCCCTCATTCTTGAACAGCTGGAAGAAAACATTTTATTCTGTCCATCGAACATACACCATGAAACCACAGTACTTAAAATACCTCTTCTATGACCCTCTGCTGTCCCCACTGTATAGATCCACGGGGAGCAGCCCACTTACCGGAAACACATGGAGAACTGAAGGAGATGAATCGTGTAACCGTTATCCATGTCGAGTCCCACTGTCAAAATATTCTTATTACTCAGCAGAACACCTTTTGAGTTTCCTATCCTAACAGAAATCATTCCAGTGAATAGATTTGCCCTTTTATAAAGAAGCTTTCTGATGTATATTTTTAAAAAGCTAGCTATGTAATATGGGGAACTTAATTTGAGAATTTGATGAGTTTAAAAATGGCAGTTATTTGTCAAACCAAACACCGAATGTTGGGCATAAATCAGAAAATTTGAATTAAGAAAGTTCACACTATTTATTTATTTTCTTGAGTAATCATTTTTTATGGAGTTCTATGACATATAAGTGCTTATCTTCCGAAGTGTCACAATAAAAAAAGGTATAGCTACTATTTAGAAGTATGTCTTTCATAGAAAGAGCCAAAGAGTTCACAGGAGGTTTGTGGTTTCTATTTAAGTACACTTCTTTTCTTTTAAAGAATACTGATAATCTTTTTATTTTTATTTTTAAGTATAGTTTATTTTAGTGCACAAACTCAAAGTGGAAATGTGTCATAATTGAACTTACTACAATACAAGCAGAATGCTTTGTTTTATTAAAAATAAACTATACCCACATATATATTATAAATAACTATATATAAAATCCATCCATTACCTAAAATATCATGCATATACTCTAGTGTTTTATTATAAAGCCAATAATCTAACATGCACTGCATTTAAGAAATGATTTTTAAAAATATAAAATGAAATTTCAAACCTTAGCCCTGGCCATTGTGATTCAGCTGTTTGGAAGTTGTCTATGCACCAAAAGGTTGCCCGTTCCATACCCAGTCAGGGCACGTGGCAGCCCATCGGTGTTCCACTCTCATGTTGATCTTTCTCTTTCTCTCTCCTTCTCCCTTCCTCTTGCTCTAAAAAGCAATTATATATACACCAAACTTTATATTAAAGTTTTCCTGGGTTAAATGAACAATGAAATTTTGCAAACAAAAATATGTTTGACTCTTACTTAACCGCCATATCACAGTATAAAACTAAAAATAATCCTCTAGCTTATTCTAATATATTGTTAAGAATTGTGCATTGCCTTTCAAGTTCTTAGTACACATAAAAACTAAAGTTGTAGAGCAGGAGAACAGTAGACATGTGTCCCTAAATAGGCAAGGAAAGGATATTAGTAATGATTAACAACAAACTAAATTAATGCATATATTGTATTGGGCTAATGTTGTTGCTAATTTATATTAACTAAAAAATAATAGCTTATCTTGACTCCTAGTTTGATTTGATTAACATAGGAAGGTTAAAATAAGATAGCTACCACATATATATTATGCAAGTCAGGACTCATTAATTTCAAAACTTAAAGCCAAGCTAAAAAGTTAAAAAAGCACCTTTAAATTACACTTATCTTTAATTTGCTGTCCATACATAATTACATTTAATTAAAGCTCACTGAAGCAAAAAGTTACCTAAATTAATTAATTGAATGAACTCACCATGTAGAGAAAACATGTATAAATATAATTCCTTACTAATACCTAGAACTTTCTAAGGGGGTCCTTGCTTATGTAGTTTTTGATGATTTTTAAAAAACTAACTGGACCCATCTAACATCAAATAAAGTTATAAAGTTGTTTAATTGTGATTATGTTCATCTAAAAATGTCAATGAACTTTACATTTAAATTTAGGAACCTAATTTGCCTAGCAGATATATTACAGACATATTCACACTGATATTTTAGTTTACTTATATTATGTTTAAGATATTCTTTATTTGGAACATCAGTAGTGGTAAATAGTGAGTTTTAATAAGATGTATAACACTGTGGTTTTTATTTCAGAAAATATACCAGCACTTCCTTCTTCAGAAACTAATTGGAGAGTGTGTGTGTATGTAAAATACCTTCGTCTTTGAGCTGAGTTATAGAAAGCCTGCAGTCAAAATCATGTGACAGTAATAGAGGGTACTAACAGAAGTTATTTCCAAATTTAGTAATTATATCATCTTAGATGCTTTTATTTCATGTAATTGTAAATAAAACCATAAATCTGATCAGTATCTTCAAATAAAAAACTGAATAATTTTCTTACTTTAACAATTTTTACTATATCAAGGAAACAGTAACTAAGCCATGACTTCTCACATTTTCAATAACAAAATGAAACTATTGCACGAACCCAAAACTTGGATTCTGGCACCATTTTTACAGTTGCAGAAAAGTGTAGTTAATTTGAAAAATAAAAACAATATTATAAACATCCCTGTGATGGGAATCAATAAAAAATAACTTATCAAAGAAATTCTACACCTCCTTTAAGATTTACTTCATTGCTACATCTACATTTTAATCATGTAAAATCAATTTTGAAGCCAATTGATCTTTTTAAAAATTTTTGAGAGAAACCTTTAGATAAACAAACACGACTCATTTTTCTTTTGAAGTCATGGCAATTGCACTGGCCAGTGTTTGAAATAGGATTATCTGACGATTAGGTCTCAGTCAAAGAAGTTACTGCCTACATTTTACCCTCTGAGAGAGGAGAGCCCAGCCTGAGCTGAGTCAGTGGGGACATTGTTACATCTAAGAATCATACACAATACTCAGACATACCATCAGACAATGAATTGAGCTACAAATCATTCATTAGTATTTCAGCAATTTTATGTAATAAAAATACTAGCTTAGATATCAAGAGTTCTTACTTTTTATTTTATTGTGTTGTGTCCTGACTCTGCCATATAATTATCACAAGTCACTCCCTAGGCCTTGCTTCATCCTCCACCACATGACCTCCAATGTCATTCCCAGCTTTGTAATCAATGACTGCATGAGTGGTGAGTCTCCAAATGTTGAGGTGCCCAAAAGGGACACGATTCATCTTCACGTGAAACTTGATAACCACATGAACAAAAATTGTCAGTGAAGTAATAAACATATTTTAGATTTTAAAAATGGTCTTAGATTTTAAAAATTGGTTAACTGTGAGATTAGATCAAAAGATTTTTTAAATGGGGATCATCTAGGTTTAGTGTTTTATGAGAGATTTGACATATGTGAATTAATCTGGAGGGGAATGGTCAGGTAATATTGTTGATAAGTTCTAGAACTTTGAAATTTTTTTGAACATCTCTGTTTTAACTGAAATCCCACTTTCTCTATGAAGCCTTTTAGCAATTCATGAAGAAATATTAGTAATCTCATCTTGACACACTCCAAATAAGTATAGCTAGTAATATAACTTTCCACCACCATTCCCTTACTTTCTGAGTTCTTGCTCTGCACAAGGCACTCAGCTAGTGAAACATTCCTTTATTCACCCAATACTTGTTCAGTATGTTCCTTGTGGATGTTAACATCAATGTACTCTCAGATTTTGAACTTCCGGAAGAACTATACCTGTCCTCATTACACATTGCCCGAAGCAGGGTCAAGCTAATAAAAGGAATTTAAGAAATGCTCTTAGCTAATAGCGATTTTGAATGTGTTTCTCTGACTTGAACACTTTGTGAAGGCTATTGGATATGCTAATAATTTACAGAACTGGGTATGTAATTATATTTATAGGTCCCTGGAATATTTTGGTGCTCAAAAATGCTTATAGGATGGCTATGGGTGCTGAATAAGATTCATTTGAAGATGATTATGGTGAAGAAAATTTCATGTGCAATATGAGATGACTCCTATAACAAGGATAAGACACTGGGTAAACCCATCCTTGTATTTGGACTTCTCTAATGAAAACTAAAAATATCAGGCACTGATATTTTTCAAGCTGCATTTAAATATCAATAAATTAATCATCATATGAGACTTCAATTTCACTGGTAATCTTGAAAATAGATGACTATGCAAATTCTGATGATTTTGCTATTTGTAGGCCAAACAAGCAGTCCTGTGGGATGTCTGTAGGTATTAATGAAAAAGTGAAGACATTTCTTTTCGATAATTTGTTTCTAGATGTGTTTTTTTTCCCTTTTCTCAGATAAACTCTCTCAGGGAAGACTGCCTTTTTCTGCACCCTACAGAGAGATTAGTGAATGCGTAATCACACAGTAACAGGTCTGGTTCCAAGGCTTTTCTCATTAAATTCTCTGTCGTTCCCTCTGTGGGAAACTGGGAAATTTATCAGATTTTTATATAGGAGGTGAATTTCTGCTGAGGAGGCAACACGATGTGTTATACTCTCTGGAGTGCAATTACGGCTGACCTTCCTTTTACCATAGGGCTCTCTCTGTAGAATGTATGTGTTCCATACTCTGACACAGTTTATACATTCACATTTCTTAAAGTTCACTAGTTGTCCTACATTTTCCACCATAAAGGGACCCTGAGAGCAAGTGTAACTGTTAACTGTACCAGAATATTAAATGTACCAAAAGAATATACAAAGACCTCCCTAACAGTCACCAACCTAATGGAGCACAGAACAGAACGGGTTTGAATTTTACAAAAAAAAAAGTTGCATAAAAGTTGTACTTTCTCAGTCCATTTTTTTTTTTTTTTTGGCATTACAATGGGGTAAAACGTTTTCTATTTAAGTAATGAAAGAATAAGTCATCACAATGCCTATTATAAA